TCGTTCACATATTACGTAATCAGCTGAGGGGGGGGGGGGGGGGGGTTCCGAATGATTACGCTAGTGTAATTTTGACACAATTTTTTTTATTGAAATCTTTCAAATCAGTCAATTACATACAAGTTTACACAATGAATTAGTTAAATATAATATTGTCCTCTAAGCATGGATTGTCAAAGTTGAAATTGTCTCGGACAAAATGTATGTAACCAAAGGACCTGAGGGTCACCAAAACACAGATATTGAGTGCAAATGCAGCTCCTGCACAAGCATGGGCCCTTATAAAATTGTAATAAGTTACTTTAAACAAAATCACACACCCATTCAATCAATTCATAAAATATTGTGCTGTGAGATGAAATTGAGAAATATGTGAATGCAGACAGCAAGAATAGATAATCTTGAATAAACTATTTTACGGATTTGTTTCTATTGAATAGTCAAGTTCAGAGTCCGAATCCACCGGGATAATTTTCCCCCACATGTAAGTGGAAAGTTTACTTTTAAAATCAGTGATACTCTCTATCTCACGGATATCTAGAGGAATGTGATTCCACTTAGTGTGGGTCCTATAGAAGAAATTCTTGGCAAAAGCGTTGGAGCTTGCTCGAGGTGAGATAGAGCTTACAAAACATAGAGAGTCCATGTGACTATTTCTGAGCCTTGAGTGGCCTTGAAATGGTTGCAAATATGAGGGTAAAGTGACAGGTATATGTTGCTTCACAATTTTAAAGAAGAAGATGAGATCCAAGAAGTCAAAGCGGTCTTCAATCGGCATAATCTTCAGCTGTCTGCATTTTTGAATGTATGTGGATGGTGGATAACTCATATACTCCTCGTGAAGAATCCACTTAATAGCACGCTTTTGGAGGCCCTCCAGCTTGCTTGTCTGGGATTTTGTGACTGGTCTCCATATAACCGAGCAATGCTCAAATAGGCTCCTCACTAAAGTGAGATACAGTACTCTACGACGATTTACGTCTTGGACAAAATAACAATTTCTTCTCGCCATGCCTAATTTTTGGTTTGCCTTAGAAAGGACTTTGGAGCACTGATCTTTCCAATCGAGATTTGATGTCACAATTACACCCAGATCCTTTTCATGATCAACATAGTCAAGTGTGATTCTTCCCATGGAGTATACAAAGTTAAAGAGTGGTAGGACACTAAGGAGGGAAACTGTTTCGGATATCCTTCCTGCGACGGTGAGGACCTTACATTTGTCGGGATGAAATCTCATTTTATTAGAAAGTGACCAGTCATGGAGATAATCAATGTCCTTCTGCAGTCGCAGGATATCAGACTCCGAAACAATCTTACGCCAAATTTTAGTATCATCGGCATACAGTGACAGTTGTGTGCCTGGTGAAATCCCCACTGATATATCATCAATGAACATAATGAACAGCAATGGTCCCAAAATTGACCCTTGAGGTACACCAGACTGGGCGTTTCTCATAGAAGAAAACTTGCCACTTATCAAGACCTGTTGTTGCCTGTCTCTTAGATAATCAGTGATGAATTTCAGTAGCCTCCCATCAATACCAAATTTGCTCTTTAGCTTAAATAATATAAGATCATGGTTAACCGAGTCAAATGCTTTGGCAAAATCAAAGTAGACTACATCTGTTCTCATATTTTCATTCAGTGAGAGCGCTAGGCTGTCGCACAGTCCTACAAGATTAGTTGCACAAGATCTCTCAGCTCGGAAACCATGCTGTTTGTCATTGATCATGCCATTAGTAAGTGCCAATAACTCATCTCTTATTATGCGTTCAAGAACTTTTGTGATTAAGCATGTAAGAGAAATTGGCCTATAATTTGAAACCTCATGTTTATCCCCTTTCTTGAATATTGGTACAATGTGCCCCAGTTTCCACTCCCTTGGTAGTGTCCCAATGTTGTAGCATGAATGAAAAAGTATTGATATAGGGTATGCGAGCCCAACCGCACAGTTTTTCAAAAGTTTCCCATGGATACCATCAGGTCCATAAGCTTTATTAGCATTAATATTGGAAAGGATTTTGCGAACCCTTCTGTGGTCAAATTCAATATCAAAGCGCCAATCATTAGAGTAATCTATATCTATGTCATAAGTTGATGCCTCAGAGAACTGCTCGAAGAAAAAGTCATTAAATAGGTTGGCCTGGTCTTCAGGGCAGTTGCGGACAGTGCCTTTGTGGCTTACAAACTCAGGGATCCGCTGACTAGCTGTCTTCGATTTGACATAGGACCAAAATTTTTTTGTTATTAAAGAGTTAAAGCACTATCATCAGATTCATTTAATGTTTCCCTCATTTTTTGAGCAACCACATTTTTGAAATTTTTCCTAGCAAGGGAGAATGCAATTTCAGCTCTATCACTTTTATGCCTTTCTTTATGTAATCTCACTTTCTTACGCCATGCATCATAACACTCCGAGTCAAACCATGGATCTTGGCCATCAGTCTTGACAGAGCATTTTTTAACAAATTTATCTGTGACATTAAAAAGTTTGTCCTTAAATTTTTTCCATCCAATTTCAGGTTCTGTGCCATTGAGCAATGCATCCCAATTCGTGTGTCGGAGTTCATGGTTTAGCCTCTCCCAGTTCACAGTCTTAAAGTTATAGCACATACGCCTGACTGGCTTCTTCCTACCAACTTTAACGTTGATCTTAAAATTGATGGGGAAGTGGTCAGACTTGCAAGCACTATCTCTCTCACCTACCATTAGGTCATTAATATTTGACACAGAGTTTGTGAGCAATAGGTCAAGTGTTTTGCCTTTGCAGTGGGTAGGTGTTAACACACATTGTTGAAGGCCTAGATCAACAAAAGATTCAACAAAAGATTGCTCAATAGGACAGGAGCTGGCCAGGGTAGACCAGGAAACTCCGGTCAGGTTAAAATCTCCTAGTATGAAGACTTTACTCAGTCCTCTTCTTCTGAGAAGAGTTTTCAAAGACTCAACAATTTTTTCATGAATAGCTGGGGGGGGGGGGGGTTACAAATGTTCCAAAAAATGATTTCGTAATATGTGAACGACCCCTATCTGGTAAATTGGGCTATGAAGGCCCTAAAGGTTTTTTAATGTGTGCAAATTGTGCAGAATGGCCATGTTTATATACAACTTATGAAGCAACAATCAACATGTACCCTAAATTACTTATTTTTCGAGTTATTCGGGGAAAAACATTGTATTATGTCCATTTTCTACCTGTAAAATACAGTCTCACGAGCTCCTCTGCGCGCGCAAGGGACTTCGTGACGTCATCGCCAAAATAATACAAACGCTATTTACACGCGTTAGAGAGCAGTTAGAAATTTAGGAATTTCGACTCGTTGCTCAGTTTGCTATTTGTCACAATCTGTCAAAATATGAGGAGAACTTTTTTAGAGTTAACTGGTCCTTTAACGACTTGTGCTGTGTTATAAATGTGTTTAGTTGATTCCGGCTAAAATTGTGGCAGATTAGTAAACCATGTGCTAAAATGACATTTTAGTAAAATGTGTACCGGATAGCGCTCAAACGGGGTTCAAAACGATGACACTATACTACTGGTATTCCAGTTATGATGGACATGGCAGTTCGAGAGTATAAATTCTCCTGTAAGGCTACAAAACATCTAAAAGAAGCCATTCTCAAGCAGGTAGACAACTACACATGACAGAGGATTGGAAACACAGCAAAGGAGTGAAAACCGAAATAACGACCGAACGGAATCTCTTCTATCTACAAAAACAAGCAGAAATAGACGCAATAGCACTCAGATATAACCTAAACTTAAAGTTAAAGGATAGCCCTAAGAGTAAGACATGTACGTGTGGCCAGAAATACTCGGCAAACCATGCGCTCATCAGAAAATGAGGAGAAAAGGTGTTACAATGCAAGGGTTCTGGAAGTAGAGAAAGGAAGCTTCACCCCGTTAGTTTTATCAACATCTGGTGGAATGGGTGGTGAAGCTGAAAGACTAGTAAAGAAGCTTGCTAGCAAGATGGAATACCACACAGGGCAACCGCAAAGGTATTAAGATGCTGTTGGATACATAAGGAAGCGCCTTCGTTTCGAAATCCTAAGAACAACAGTGATTTCTCTACGGGGGGACAGAGGTGCAGCAATAAGAACTTTGTTGATATAAATAGTTTAGATTTGAATTTGGAGCCACAAGGCTCCAAATTTCGGTCGTTGATTACGTAATCAAAATTTTCTTTTTTACCCTCTAGAACAATAACAATTTGACAATATTTTAATTCAAATTACACTCAATTTCACTCTGATAGTGATCAAATTTAGAAATTGATCGAACATCCGGCTATAATACTAATAGTAAGTAGTTTAGAAGGTGCTTGGCCGGATATCATAACAATGATTTCGGCTCATCATGATAGCATGATCAGGGTAGCATGAAAGTTGAAACGTAGATAAAAGTGTTTTCTGTGAACGACCCCATATAACTGGCGTCGCGCACGCAAAATAGACTCCTTCACAATCACATATTACCAATTACGCAATCAATATTTTAGCAATTTTACCCCCCTTTCCCCCCTTCGTAATCAAGACCCGACCCCCTCCCTCCTGACAGCAATATTACGTAATCATGGCCAGACCCCCCCTCCCCTTGACCTTTTTCCCTAGAAAACACTTTCATCTACGTTTCATTGTTCATGCTACCCTGATCATGCTATCATGATATTGATGAGCCGAAATCATTTGTCATTGTTATGATATCTGGCCGAGTACCTTCTATACTAAACTACTTACTATTACATATTTAATAGCCGGATATTCGATCAATTTCTAAACTGTATCACTATAAGAGTGAAATCGAGTGGAATTTGAATAAAAATATTGTCAAATTGTAATTATTCTAGAGGGTAAAACCCCCTCCTCCTCAGCCGAATACGTTATATATGTGAACGACCCCTAATTTAAGGCTGCGAAGATAACATTTCAACTCTGAACGATCCTTATAAATATAATATAACTATATCCTACCAATAAGATGTGAACAAGAAAAATGCAAATTTTAAGCGTAATGAATTTTATACAAAAAACCAATGCTCATTAATTTACACAAATAGAGGTGATATGGATAAATATAAAAGTAGTCTTTCAGATCACTTAGCAGCAACAGCCTGCTGCATAGCCTGTACTTTCTGCTGGTATTGCTGCTGCATCTTCATCAGTGCTTCTCTAGAGTTGCTCTGTTTCTCTTCAGAAGCTGAGATATTCTTATCGCATCTCTCCAACTCTCCCTTGATAAAGGTTATCCTCTTTTTACAGTGCTGATAGCCTCTGTTACTTCCTGTTTCACTAACACTGGTCCCACGAGTTTGAAAACCTCTGCGCTAGATTTGAGTCTGTTGAACTCACTGAGAACCAGTTCGTTCTCGTTCAACTGTGCGTCGAATTGTTGACGTGTTGAGACACATTTTTGGAATTCTTTGGTGAGGACCTGGAGTTTCTCTCGTTCGCTCTGGAGCTTCTTGACGAACTCTTGCTGTTCTTTTACTTGAGCCATATCACCTCCTGAATGGATATTTGGTTAAAATTGAATATGAAATGAATTAATTCGAAATATTATTTATTTCTTCAAGGATGAAATAGAAGCAAATCTAAGCAATAAATTTTAGCATCTGTCAATGACCCTGGAAGTATCGATCATTATTATCATCCGTAAAGAAAACGTGAATATAATAAAAATAGAAATTAAAAACTTTAGATAAACAACAATGAATGCATTTCAATGACTATAATTTAACAAGACCTCATCAACTTTTAAATACAAAGGCTCTGACAATGATTACGGACTGTCTTATCATTCTATCACATAATCTGTTGCTATCGGTTTCAGGGTCGAAGTATTTCAGGGTCACGACTCTCAACAAATGAAATGGCAACAACGATCAAAAACCCTTATATTCTCTAATTTCAATTTCTGCTACAACGCAGTCAGTCTTTAAATCAAAGCAGTTAGATTCCTGCTACAACTTCCTAATGACAGGAGTAGCGAAAGGTTTGAGATCTTCAGGAATGTCTCCTAATTCCTCCACATCATGCCACGTGTACAACTTCTCTGGTTTGATTGGTCTGAACTCTCCCAGTAGCGGGAAATCAAACCCGTCACCAAACACGCATAGCTCCACAAACTCCTCCTGTAATAATGATATCTGATAACAATTAACAGGTAACTCGGAGATCAGTTAAACAGAACGGCAATTTAAAAAACAAGTACAATTCAAATGACGAGATGAAGTATTTGTGAGGGAATATTCAAGTTATAAACGATTTCTACGCCTATTTATGAAGCAGGAAAGATAAAGTGATACATGACAACTGACAAGCAAGTGCAACTTGTGTACTGTGTACATAATATATTATGTACTGTGTACACTGTGAAGTATGCGTACGTTAGTATAAGAGTTGAGCAGGTCAATGGTTTCCAGTAACCACTCTGTTACTTCCAGTATTTGTTGCATTGTACACTCCCCTCCATCTCTAGTACTGTATACTATCCTTGCTACGGCTCCTGCTAACTCCTGAGTTATGTGCGGTGATCAGTTGGCTAGTCTGGCATTAAAAAATAGAGTTTTTATCATTGTTAATAATAGTTACCAATAGCTCTGAATTGACTCTTGAAAGTTGGGAAAATAGTTGACAACATGTAAGTTTTAAGTGTAAATATAATCTCCAACCTTGCCACTAAGAGATGTGAGCCCCTCGTCCAACCTAACATACATTGTCTGCTGAACATCAAGTGTTTTATTTAGAGCTCGTCTTCTTGTCTTTAGGTCTACTTTGTTTGAGCGCTGTCTTATTTTCAGATCTTCAAAGAATTTGGTTACCAGAACTTTCTTTCTTAAATGTCTTACCTGAAGATAACAAACAAATAATGATACAAGAAAAGTGAGGCGACACTAATAGAGTGAAAGATTTTTGAAAAGAAGTTGTCACAATAAGATGTGATTCCTTATGCAGATTTTAAGCCAATCCAAGATCAAGCCTTCCAACATACCAGTCAATTTCAAGCACGAATTCGGGTAAAAGGTGTGTGTACTAAATGTTGAGTGGAAGTCTTAATATTGATGGGCTACAACGTTGCTCAGGATGTCCTAAATAAAGTTGGGAGATCTACAGAACCTACCTCATCAGTAGGTAATTGTTGAAGTCTGAGTAATATGGGATATAAGTGAAGAGTAGCTAAAATAACATAGGATCCGAACGTATCGTCCATATGTAGCGACCTGACATAGTCAGTTCGTAACATTGAGTTAACAATAGAGTTCAGTAGCGACTCCCCCATAGTATTCCGAGCCATCTGTTGTCGCAGCATCAACCTGTCCTCTATCTCTGAGGGTAACTTGTTGTTCTTTGCCATGTAAATCTGCAGGAAAAACGAGGTCGAGCAACTGGTTTTAAGAGTTGGCTGCTTGGAATGAAATGAAAAGTATTGCACCGAGGAAAAGAAGTTAACCGCGTTTAAATAAGGGTGGTCCTAAGTTTAGTGAACCGTATTTTAAAGTTTAAAACTAACTGCTGGTAAGAGAGAGTTGCTGAATTTCTCTTTGATAGTTGGACGAAGTAGAGACATCTTTCTGTTGCTATGGTTACCATATTCGTTTCCATGACGACTGAATATACTGGAACATCGCCGGAGATTCCGCAAACAATACATGCTTTAGCTGGGACAATAATGTTAGAAATTATAAGGCAGAAAATATATTGTAAAATTCTTGATTATTTGCATTTCTACTCAAGCTGAATTCTGGTTCATTATGTCGCACTTTCATTGCATAAGATGATAGAAAGATCTATTTTTATTTCAAATTTATCTGAGAACCTTGTGCCAAAGCATTGACAAACAATCAAAATAGAGGGTAAATTATAATGAAATGAAAATCTTTAAATTAAATGATTTCAGATCGTTCCAACTATCCCTTATAAAATTGATTAAAACTGATCTAATTTTGTCGTAAAAAGACTGAAAATCATGTTTGTGTGAGCTCCAATAAGTTAATACCTTAGTGCACTAATTGCACAATAAAAACCAAGAGAGACGATAGTCGACTTGGCCGAAAACGCCAAAAATCAAGCCTAATCATATAATAATAAGCTCCTGGCAAATGGCAGTCAAAGCTAAAATTGCTGTTACAATAATAAAAACAACTGAGTGTCTTTTGATGTTCTAAAAGATATTAAAAATATGGTTTTCACACGGTAATGTCCACACGTCAGTAGTTGGAATCAGCTCCGTCCCAGGCACTTTTCTCGGCAGTTAGGCTGAACAAGCCGCGATGGAATTCTGCCAAAGAAAGAGAGAATCATAACAAACTAATGGCCTATTATTATCCAGTTGTCACCTTCCATTAGGTAAATTTCTCACAGAAGATCCACAGCCGCTAAGTCAGGGCTGTGAGAGAGTTTTGTTACTTCTTGCCGTTGAGGAGCTGCTGCAGACTGGTGATCTCGTGCTCCTCTTGTTCCCCGGTCAGAGACCAGATGTCTTGCAGTTCTCTTCTAGACGGATCAGAAGTAATGGGGGCCCATGGAGTGGTTCCCAGGGAGAAGGGAGAGGAAACACTGGAGGAGACGAACGCGTTGGCGAAGTCATCCTCTTTAGAGAGCTGCTTGGACATTCCATTCTGTAGAGACATGGGGACATGGTTAGTGTTGTTCATCATACTCAGGACACTGTTGATAGGGAACTGGGAGTTGTTGTTGGGAGGGAACTGCATGTTGTTGTTGACAGGGAACTGGGTGTTAGTAGCCCCGTTGTTGGGGCGCTGCATGAAGGGGCCTGTGAACATGGGACTAGGACGGTACATGCTCCTCTGGTCTACTTGAGGCTGCACGTGGGCAGATTGGGGTGGAATGTGGGGCATCAGAGGGGGTCCGTTAGCACGCAGACTCTGGAGCTTATCCTCAATGCTGACTTGTTGCAGGAACTTGCTGTTGACGTTATTGTTAGGCATGAACTTGTTGGAGTGGATGAAGGACTGGACACCCTGAACTTGACCATGAGGAGGAGGGGGAGGCATGAAGTTCTGGGGACTGAAATCTCTCTGCTCCGTCTTCCTGGTGTCATGTACTCCTGGGAGACTCATACCCATATCATGGTACATAACAGAGGGGTACTGAGCCTGGAGGAAGGAGGGTCGTTGAGGTTCAGGTGGTGGCATGAAGGGTGGGTCAGGGTTAACGGGGAAGGGAGCTCGGTGTTGCTCAGGAGCGTTCATCGGGTATGGTAGTGGAGCACTGGGCATCATCGGATATGGCACAAACATAGGAGATATAGGGACTGAGTTGTACTGGGTGTTGTTAACTTTCTCTTCTCCGAAACTAAGGGTCTTGTGGTTCAGGATAGCCTCCTGCTCAAACGCTGTCATCTTGTTGATGGAAGCCCAGTGGAGTAGATTCCTCAACCTCATCACTCTGATAACATCTAGATTTACTCCTTTATCACAAGCTCCCAGAACTTTCAGAACATCTTGCAGTGGCTCAAAGGCTCTCAATTCCTCTTCTTCCAGAGTAGCCTTAGCTACATTCTTATCATCAGGGAGATCAGCTTGTTTCTTGACAAATGAGTTGAGATCAGCCCACAGACTAGCTGGAACCAAATCATCTTTCTCTCGAGTATAATTATTCTGGAACCAGTGAGCCAGGATCACCAGAGTGGGTAGGATCTCTCTGGTAGAGTCCAACCTACCACTTTCCTCCGCTTCAGAGGCCAACACAGACATGAACTCTACAATCAGACCATAGACTGGTGTCTGGTACTCTTCTCCTTTTGAGAGACTCTGCTTATGGAGGTAGATCAGAATAGCACTCAGTTTCACAAACAAGTCCCCAAACGGACGGTTTGCTAGCTTCATCCTACTTTTAGCTTCCTCTAGAAAGTCCCGGCACAGTTCATTCAGTGTCATAGGTTCTCTTTCATAGAGCACTCTGAAGACCAGGAAGTTGAAATTAGCATACAACTTGTCAGAGGTTTTAACATCAGAAACACACTTCAGCAGCCAGTTGTCAAGGTTAGCTTGTCCGGCTGGGAAAGGGAAACTAGCAGCAATACTCCTAACATGAAGGTAGAGAGTCTCGATATCATCTTTGTTATGGGTAGCACTGAGGCAGGCCAACTGGTTGTACGGCTGACCGTTCAGAGGTTTCACTTGTAGAGCCTGGTGGTAGAACGCTTTAGCTCCGTTAGAGTCGTTGTTGTATCTTGCAATATCACCCAACTTCACAAGACAGAAGTGGCAGATGTACTTGAAGTGCTCCTCAACCATGCGGTGATCAACCTTCTCCTGGATCACACCCAGATAGCGAGCAGAGGGCATGGCTTTTATCTTCTTTCTATAGGTTTCACATAGCTCCTGCAGCAACTGGGAGAAGAAGCCAGTAGAAGCGTGCAGGAATATCTTGTGGAGTCCAGCAATGCTCTTGTACTGTGTCATGTGCTGGTGCATCTTGGATATGAAGTTGTAACACGTGTATCTCCACAAGTCCATCTCGATCCCGTTCTTGATGCTCATCTCCAGGTTGGTCAGCAGTAGAGCCCGGTACTTGTCCTGAAGTTCCTGTCTCACTTCCCATTTTGTACTGCCAATGTTAACGTCAGCTATTGACTGGATAACACAGCTCTTCTTGAGGAGCTCAGTCTCCGCAAACAGACTTTCAAAGTCCTGGGGAGGATTCGCTGGGCACAGGTCTGCATCGCCCATCAACCTAGTAATAGTAGCAGGGTTAGATATAGTGACGTATTTAGTAATAGTAATAGACTAGTAATATTAGCAGATATAGTGACGTATTTACCTAGTAATATTAGCAGATATAGTGACGTATTTGCTGTTCATCGTATAAGGAATTCACAAATAATTCAATACAAAAATTAAATCACGAGCATTTTTGAGGTATTGTAATGTAGGCAAGTGATGGACAAGGAGTAGAAGATGGATAAATTTCTAATAACAATTTAACATAACAACAAATCTGAATAAATTACATAAACTCGTTAAACAATGTTAGGCACCATTCCATTATGACTAAAGACGAGTTACGAGTCACGGCAAATAGATTACTAAAACTATCAAACAACAGTCACATACTCAGTACTCCAGGATTCAATTTGTTAAATAGGTCGACTCTGGGTTTATGGCACTATCCAAGAAGCTCGACCAGTGGAAATAAACGCGAATATCTCGGAGTCGAATATGGTTAGGGTTTGGTAGGGTTATGGTTAGGTTATGGTTCACGCGGAATTCTGCTGATTGGGCTGCTTGGATACTGCCGGTTTATGAGGGTACAAGGGTCATCGCTCGGCTAATATTAACGTAATGTACGTTAACACATATCAATTAATAAAATCTACAAAACTAAACAAGATAACAGCTCGGATGCAGGTCACGACGAAACAAATCATTAACATCAGTATAAATTAAACCTAAATTATAGTAAAAACAAACAAATATTTATAAAAATATACCTTCATTTAAACTTTTCTCTCAAATGCCAATACCCGACATCATGTTTTCTTTTAAAGGTACAAAGTTCCATTAATAAAGATTTAAAGATAGCGTTATCTGGAACACTAACTTTACTCTGAAACTCGCTTATCACCTGAGCTGTGGTCACCATCCCTTCCTTAGAGCTGATAAAGACTCTCAGCTGGGCTATCAGACTATAGTTCTTATTCTTTACATCGTTAGTTACAGGCTCGTCAAGACCATTTCTTTCTCGAATCTTCTTCAGAATAACTGAGGATCCGCTTCCATTACTGTTTGAACCGTTGCTCTTGTTTCCGAATTTAGGACGTTTTGGAGCAGATGAATCGCTTGTAGTTATAGCGGATTTTTTCTTTCTGATTTCATTTCTCGATTTAATGAGAGCTTTAGCAGCTTGAGTAGCGACCCGAGTAGCTTCTTCTTCCACTAGAGTGATGTCTTGATGCGTCTCCCCAACAATAGTGTCATGCTGCAGGGCACTGTGCACATTTGCTGAGTTGAATATTTTAGCAAGAGTAAACGTGTCATCCTGGTCAGCAGTGTTAGGGTTGTTTTCAGCAAGGTCAGTTGTTTCATATGATGACACACCCACAACAGAGTCAATATCCTCCCCATCAACCTTCACTTTACAGGACCTCCTCTTCTTTCCTTTCTTCCCTTTCTTCTTAGAGTGACCTTCACTATCCCCACTAGTATTTTCTTCAATGATGGCTTGTTTCATCAGTTTAGCTCGTTCTTTGACGTCTCTCTTAGTAATCTCAACATTCCTAGAAGCGAATATAGATCCTGTCTCAGTAGTATTCTTGTGCCCAGGAGTGTACGTAAAGAGATCCAGCAGCTGATTAGATTTGAAGAAACGGGATTGTTTAGGATCCTTTAAAATCTTGTTGGTAAGATAAGTTTTAAAGATTTGACGTTGGTACATCTTCTCTTCGATTGTCCCAGAAGTGAGAAGCCGATAAACGGTCACGTTTTTAGTCTGACCAATCCTCCAAGCCCGCTCCCGAGCCTGAATATCTGTACTAGGATTCCAATCAGGATCGTAAATGATAACTCTGTTAGCGCCAGTAAGGTTGATACCAAGACCTCCAACTTTAGTTGTCAGCAGGAACACAAAAATAGATTCGTCCTGGTTAAACCGTGCTATCAGACCCTGACGGCTAGAGATAGCGGTTCCTCCATCCATCTTCATGTAAGTGTAGCCGTGATTCTGAACAAACTTCTCAAATATAAACATCATTTTCCTGCTCTGAGTAAATAAGAGTGTCCTATGGCCTTGTTTCCTCCAAACTTTTAGCAACTCAGAAACAACTTTCAACTTTCCAGACCGTCTCACATGCCCATATTCCTCAGAAGTATCTTTCATAATGTCCAAGTTCCCCTGCATCGCGAGTAATGCAGACGGGTCCCCCGTGTAAATATCTGGGTGGTTGCAGATTTTCTTCAGAAAAGTCAACCCAGCGAAAGAGTTGAGAGTGTGAGTTAAGATCTTACCTACATGCTCTGATCTGAGAAAATTAGTGTACAGCTCCTCCTGGATGGGGGTCAGCTTACAAAATAGCACCTGCTCGTTCTTGGTGGGCAAGTTGATCTTAACATCAGACTTGAGTCGGCGCAGCAGATAAGGACCGATTGTCTCTCGTAAAACACATGCACATTTATAGGCAGTCTGAACTTGGATTTTGGATGCGTTAGTGTAACCTCCCTGAGTAATTGGAACTGAGAATTGTTCCAAGAACACCGGAAGAGCCCCGAGTTTCCCGGGGTAGATGAAATCAAACAAAGACCAGAGTTCTTGCAAGTTGTTCTGAATAGGACTCCCAGACAGTATTATTTTGTGACATGTAGTGTATTCTTTACACAGCCGAGTGATCTCTGATTGAGGATTCCTAATCTTGTGGCCCTCGTCCAATATAACGTAATCCCACGAGTATAGAGTCAGGGATTCTCGGTATATCCTAATACCGGAGTATGAAGTTACTAAAACACCGCCGTTTGCATTAGCAATAGCGTGAATGAGTTTAGATTTCTTAGACCCTGTGTAGGAGCCCGAGCCATGGAGAACAGCGACTCTGAATGTGGGAGCCCAGTTGTGGAATTCCCTAACCCACTGGTGCATAACAGTCGTCGGACAGACTATAAGAACCGGACCCAGCTTCCTTCGATTGTGACATCTGATCGGCACGTTTGACTCCTGGATGAATGAGACAAAGGATCAGAAAAACGGTTATTATAAAACATTATAATCAAGAAAATCACGATCATTACGCAACTATGTTCTACCTATCAAAAATGCTATTTAGGGCACACTTTTTTTAAATGATAAATTTTTCGCTTCTACTAAATAATCAGTTACTGAGGAAAAATAAACCATGGATAGGTGGTTATAACTTACAACGAGAGCGTTTAGAAATGTAACCATCTGAATAGTTTTCCCCAGACCCATTTCGTCACCTGAAAACAGTTTACCTTTACTTGCCGACAAAGAAGAACAACCACGAGGTTTAGAATTAAACGAGTCGGAACAGTCAGGATAAAGCGCCAGAAAGTAACAAAAGAAACAAAGTCCATAAATTCAACGACCAACTTGTATTATAAAATCAAACTAACCTAAAATACCGCCGCACTGTTGCTGGTGAAGCTCCCACAACCATTTGACTCCAGTTTGCTGGTATTTATACAACTTCTTCCAAGTTAAACGGTCCATTCTCAGTTTTCCTGGAATCAATCATTGCCCGTAAACACAGATATTTTAAGGGCGATCATGAAAGTCTTATAACATTTATGATATGATTTCAAAACCTTAGGAGAATAAGACGTCAATGACCTTAACAAACATATCTAATATTACCTTTGATACACTTAGTTTCGGAGTTGGTTGGTTCGATCAGGGCAACTCTCATCTGATAAACTTGAGGGTCTCCATCATCCTTGGCGACAGTGTCTATTTTTCTCCGTTTGTTTGACTTAAGTATTGGTTCCTTAACGTCATTATTAGACAAAGGCAGGGTCGGTTTCACGCCATTTTCACCGTCAGAATCGGAGTCTTCAATTTTGGGTTTGTTTTTAACATGGTCCTCTATCAGATCCATGTCAGGTTCCTCAAAATCAGTATCAGATCCATGATCGGGGTCGTGGTACTGAAGCAACTCATCATGGCCATCATCATGCAGCTCGGACTTTATTTTCTGGTCGTGTCCATTTTCCTCAATCTGCGTCTTCAAATATCTCTCGTATCTAACTTCAAACGGGTTTTTAAGTCCTGTTCTGATGAGCCTGTCTGCTTTAGACTCTTTGGGTGCCGAGAGAGAATTCAAGAACCCGTCATCCTCTCTGAAAGGACGGAGATCAGTTGCTGGCAGTCAGCTCCATCATAGTCATGGTTAATAACTACTAATTTAGTGCTATGCAAGTCACCCACTAATCACTATGCCACTAACCACTATGCCACTATTTAAGTATCGTATGATTCTACTTTCCAGGTATGCTGTTAAAAGGCCGAGTGGCATTGTAATTTAATAGACATTGACATATCTTGATATTGAAGACATAAATGGATAAGAGCGTCAAATAGAACTAACATTTCTAAAGCCTAATATTGTCAACTGGGATACAGAAATGCAGATTATATCCTGCTGAAGTTTATTATATGCATTTAACTTTGTCTAACGTCGGTCTTCAGTTTCCTTTAGTCCGGTAGACTATTTGCATGTGAAATCAACCGTCGAACGATAACGCTACTGCGCGGCTCAAAATAACTACGTTCGCGCGAAAACACGCGTCTTCTCCGCAAGTTTAAAACTTCGCCGCTTACAAAAACGAAATAATTTTATAACGAATTGCCACTGTTTTTTTGTTTAGTCATCGATTGATAGTAAATACGTTAACACAAAATAAGGTCCTTACTTTATAATTCGGGGAGGCGATGGAGGTCTAGGTGGCTTTTGAGGTTTGATGATTGTACCTCTTGGGGTATTAACGACTACTCTTCTTCTTGCAACAGGAGGAGGTTGGGGCGTGGTTACGACCCCTCCCTCAAGCCTAACCAGGGTTTCCTCTAGCATTCTCCTCTGCTTTATCACTACAGGGAGCTTGTCTTGCAGTGCTTTCTTCTCTTTACTAGTTTCTACAATGAAAGATTATCTTGAGTTACGGATGATAATACTAATTGATTAGTGAAAATGCTAACGAAAAACAAGTAAATTTTAAGAGGGCAAATTAAAGACTAGCACTAAAATTGGAAGCTGTCCAAAATTCATGAATCATTTAGGATAAAGAGTGCATCATTAAATACCTTCAAAGTATATATTGCGAGTTCCATAACCTTTGTAACTCTCCAGCTTGTAGTTCAATGCAGATATTTTTTCTTTTATTATAGTAAATTCTTTTCGCACTTTGGCTATGTCTTCTTTGACAAAGCGAACTTTTTGGAAATGTTCCATCTTTGCAATGGCTGCGTCTGCCTGAAATTACAAAGCAAAATAAAATTCTGCGCATTTTAAGGTATAAATGATGCAAGCGTCGCTTTCTTTCACTATAATAATGTTCACCAGAAATTGAAAACACGTGAAATTGTCTAAACAAATGTGATTGGCCGCAGATTTAACATTTCTTTCACCGATTTTGCAACTTTTATGAATAACCTGTTGAGAAACAGCCTGCTCCAAATCACTCTGATTGTAAACATCAACATCCAGATTGTGTAGATCATTTGATGAGCTCTGAGCAACTTTCTCCCGTTCAAACACCAATTCTGAGGGTTTTAAACATGTCAAAACGTTAGGAATTTAGATCCAAGAAATATCCTGATTTTGATGTCACGAAAGAAAGAGAAAACACGAAAGAAAGAGCTTTCGTTTTTAAAGATTCTGATGTTTGTTGCGTAATATCAACATTCATACACAATTTATGCTCTTTAGATCTAAGGTGACAAGTATATGAAATTACCCGGCTGTTCTGGATTTCGAGAAGAGGTAGGTCTGTCATCTAGATACGTTGCCATGGTGATCTTCTGTCCTTTATAACCAGCATCCACCCTCACATTCCTTCCTAACATATTGAGTGTAACATAACTTAAATATCTTAACGGTTACAAGGTTTAGAATGTCAAAGCGTTTAAATAGGTATTGGTATTTAGGTATTTCATTGCATTTTGGAAACATGATGCTACATTTTAAGTAGAGTAAAATGTATTCTTTTTAAACGACTCTGATACGATAAGTACAGACTGCATTTGCTCCTAGTCAGTAACGAGGTAACAGTTTAACAAGTTACAATTTCAAGAACATTATTAATTTAATAACTGGCAGAGTTATTTGATTTGACATTCTAACAATATTGAATTAGTGGGAACTGCAACGTGACATATTTTATAGGGTACAAGTACGTACTTGAAATATCATGATAATCTTTTATATAGTTTAGTAAAGCAAGATCTTACCTCTATCTTTAATTGGAGACACAATTAAAGCACGCAAGTTCTTCCACAATAATATGAATTCACTACACAACTAAACATTATACAAATTACAATATAAATAAGTTAAATAGTCTAAACATTACATCAAAATTCGAAAATCAAATAAATTGAGTAAAAGATAGGGGTCCATGCACAACATTTGAACCTAATTGAACATAGTGGAACAAGAAAGAATTAGAAAATCTAATTTAAGAAATATAACCGAAAAGAATAATCTCCGTCTCCCATCTATTAAATAAAATTTATTTTTTTCGCAATGAATTCAACATGAATAAAGGTGTCACAAGGTTGATATATAATAAAATCCTAACGGTCACTGGACCTCATTTAACAACTTATTCTTCTCATGATGAGTTAGAGCACCCTTGAAAAACTTCAGCACAAAAACATCGTTTTCCCCAGCCTGCAATATGCTTAATAACTTAGCTTCAGATGACGCAGCATCAATCATTGTCTTTACAGCAAGGAAATAGCTGATGGATCTGGAGGACCAATTCTGGATAACAGCCTTGAGAGCCGTGGAGTAAGTTTCAGTTTCATGTGACTTAGACAATGTTATCAGCTCAGTTATCTCTTCTACAATTCTAGGTGGCGGAACCATCAACTTATGGAGTTCTGGAATTTTCTTAACCTCAAACCTAAAACATTTCAACTCTCGTGGACGCTCCACCGCTGTCATGACGTCTATAACAAGGATCTGACCTGATGTAGGAACGTGAACATTGAGTGGGAGCCCTAGAAACCGACACGCGTAACAAGGTTCGTAGTGGTGAAGATACCCGAAGTTGAGGACACAGTTAGGAGGGAGGAACGAAGTGAGGACGGTGAGGATAGACTCTACAGTGGTGGGGTGCTGCCCTCTTACTACTATTTGGTTACCTACCACAATATTCTGGATTATCAGCTTTAGATCTCCCATTATCAACATCTCGTTTATCTGGAATTATTAGATTACATCAACTAAACCATAATAATAAATGAACAAGTAATTGAGTTAAGTTGAGGAGATGAATTTACGAGTTTAAAAAATTCAACCAAATAATACCTCTGTAATGTTTGTGAATTTAGGAGCAGGAGGTTCAACAAGAGTCTCAGCACGATCCCTAGAATACAGTTCGGAAGCCTCAGAGTCTGGTGGCTGGCAGAAGCATGCTTCTGGTTCCTCTCTGCTCATCTCGTCTACTTTACCAGGTGGTACTATTGTCAGAGGAAGCTCCTTAGTTTCTAAACCGTGCAAGATCTTCGTAAACCTGGACAAATGGAGATGGTGAGATCTGATAGGAGATCATAGCAAAATAGAGGAGCTCCTAGATTATCTCAACATGTAGAGTTAGCAAGAAAATATTTGGAATGACCAAAAGATCAGACGTGCCTACACTTTATATAGAATATAGCTCTTAGCAATAACTTACTTTTGATGAAGGAAAGTGTGCAAGTCACTGAATTTTAACAAAGTTCCCAAAGAACGAAGAGGTCTCAAACCGTCCGCCTGTCTAACTGTCTGTGATTCTGAGTCGTATATTGCTTTCGATTTATCGCACAGGATTCTGATAATTTCTCCAAACATAGGTTGAAGATATGATATGTATTCCAGAGCAGCAAATCTGTCTGATAAAATCATCATTAAAATAGCTCTCCTGGTCTCACCCCTAGCCTCTCGGTCCTTGATCTGAAATCGTCTGAATATCACACTTGCTTTGACCTGGTGACGGTTACTTGATAGAAACACAATATTGTTAGCCTCAGCAGACTCGTAATCAGCCCGATAAAGAGAGTCCTTGATTGTTGAGTAGTCTTTTTGTGGCGGAGTCGGGGTGCTAACATAGGTTCTGTGATTCTTCGTTTCGTGTGAGACTATGTGAGCTACAGAAAGAGGAAATATCTGGTCTGCTGGACAGAATTCAGGCTCTGACTGCCTCCGATCAGTATACTGGACGCTGAAAGTCAGAGTATATTAACATTTAGAAAACAAAACTGTAATATTGTGTGGTTATTAAATCTATGATTCACATTGTTGATGACTCACAACGGAATAAGTGGGGTAATAAATAAGATACCACAAATTTAATTGCATAATAAGTTAACAATACTCGTAACTCACCTGAAAGGAGGAGAAAATGAGTCGTCTATTCTGAAACCATCTTCATGTCGATGCTCGGTGGCAGGTTTGGGCAGGGACTGGGTGGTGAAGGAAATGGAGTGACCGCATTTGAACTCACAAAATTGACACAAGGTTAGCGTAGCAGGTACAAAGTGAGTGCTATCGGCCATACAATCCTGAATTTTAACTGGTTACAATCTTAAAAACAGGTATAATATGTATTATGTAGTATGTACTGGGGTCATGTTTTTGGGACAGTAAAGAAATAAGGCCACTTTGGATCTACAAGCAACAGAAAGTGTAGAATAAGAATTAAATTCATTTTACTCTTTCAATTTTTGGTCAGAATATTCTCTTTTAAGTGTAGTGCACATTATGCAATGCTCATACACACAATATATAGAATTGTTTGTGAGATTGAATTGGATTAAAAAATTTCAAAGATTCAAAGAAAATGATAATCTACTTTAAACAAGATAATATGGTTATTTGAAATGCAAGCTATTTAAATCACAGTAAGATGATAACAATTTAAACGATTTTCATGTTTAATTGAAATAAGCACACTCTGTACCGTAATCTGCAACACTACTAAGTTTGTGAATCACAAACTTATCACAAATTGTGATAAGGAGTGCCAAACTGCTGAGTGCAGCTGTTTGTAGCAGCTGTGTGTAGCAGCTGTGTGTAGTGAGTACTAGCTTTCATACATTGTATGATACGAGTATTCAAGAGTATGAAACTATTTAATAGTCAAATGTTTATCAAATGTTGTTATAAAGTTAGAGAAAGAAACAGCATAACGATATTTGTGAAGAGAATCAGGGAATTTTGTCTGCAGTATGACCAAGTAGTGTCCCTTAGAGATACACTTTAGTAGGCCATTCAATTTTAGTTCTCAAGGGCAATAAACTAGTGACCACAACAGCTGGACTAACTTATTCCATTATTGTATAAAAAGTATTAAAACAATATACATATTGTAATAGCAACAATGCAGTGACATGACCCTAAAAGAAATTAAACCGTCAACTAGGGGTAAACCCTTGAAAATCCAAAAAATTCCCTATCTACATCACACAATATGGCCTTGGGAATTTAAATTTAGGTATTAACTCCCTATTTCAGCAAAATTCTTTTTGAACCTCTGTCTCATTGTAAAAAATTACTGTAACTTATTCCATTGACTATTACCCATTAACAGATCAGTATTACAATTGTTAATTATAATGACTTCCTAATCCGGTTTCCTAATATGGCTTCCTCAACAACTCCTTTCAAAACTCTTCCCTCCTCTTTGAGGTATGGCCTTTGACGCCACATCAGAACACAAAAATCTTTGTCAAATAAACCTCAAGTCCCAGTAGTAGACACAAATCATTCAATAAAAGTAGTAGACACATATCATTCAGTGAAAGTAGAAACTCCTAATATTCATAGCCCTGTTGAGGCACCAACCAGAAATGGAATTGAAAATGATGTTATTTCCTCTCCTGTTGTGTATCCATGTGATAAATGCTCTCAAGATGCCTTGAGTGCGTTAAGTGCGATGGTCCCTGTGTTAAATGGTATCATACCAATTAGTGTTGTATGCACAAAAAAACGTTTGAAAAACTTGGGCAACACTCAGAAGTAATGTGGTTATATAAGAATTGTAAGGCCTTGGAGAAGAAACCGGTTAAGCTTGTTAAAGTTATCAAATGAGGTAATCATGCTTCTTTAAGTGAGATCTCTAATGCTGCTGATTTTGCCTACAGTAAAATTATGAAATGGACCAAGAACATGTTCCTAGTGCCACGGGGTAAAGTGGGCAATGCCTTCATCTATGAATTAAGCATATTATTCAGCCTGTTTAATGACAAGACTGAAGACAGAATGGGAGAGTGTGGCGTTAAGACTAGTATGTTTGCCCACCGCTTGCTAAATACTTTGAGAACACCTTCAGGGAACCAACAGACCTCTATGGAGGTCTGTTGGTGGATTATGCTCTTAGCACCAAGCTACTTATTGATCCCCTGAGAGACATCATCAAACAAGTGTGATTAGCAGATGATAGTGCTGCTGGAGGGAAACTGAAGGCAGTGTATAAGTGGTGGAACGAGTTGCTCCAAGTTGGACCTAAGTAAGGTTATTTTCTTAACCCATCTTAGAGCATTCTAGTAGTAAAGGACCCTCAATTGATTTACCAGGCCAAAGCATTGTTTGGAGAGTTCAATATGCAAATAACATCAGGCACCAGGCATCTTGGAGCAGTACTTGGCAATACAGGTGTCAAAGATCAGTACATCACCGATAAGGTCCAAGGGTGGTGCGAAGACATCAAGATGCTAGCTGATATTGCAGAATCTGAGCCTCAAGCAGCCTACTCAGCCTACATCTCTGGCATACAACACAGATGGAAGTTTGGCAAAGGACTGCCTCACATCTCTGAAGCCATGGAGCCGCTAGAACATGAGATTAGATAAAAGATTCTGCAATAGATGAAGGGCAGGAAGATCTCAGACTTAGAGAGAGATGTGTTAAGTCTACCAATAAGATTGGGAGGATTGGGCATTGGTTAACCCCAAGCCTCCAAGCTACTCACCACCAAGCTGATAAAGGCAATAGTGGACCAACAGGAAGTTTACACTGCATCCAGTAACCTCACCAAATCTGGGAACGAAATGAGCAATAATTGAAGAATTCCGAGCTCCAAGCCAAGTTTGACGCTATAGCTGAAAGATGTGGCACCTCCTCTAAGAGAACACTACTAGCAGCAAGAGAATTGCCTGTGGATGTTGGAAAACAAGTGATCTTGACCACCTTCTCACCTGTAAGCTAAGGGGCTACGTGATAATGACCCACAACAACATCAGAGACACAATGGCAAATCTCCTGCGTGAGGTATGTGAAAGTTGAACCCCAGCTACAGCAGGTAAATGAGGGTAATTGCCTCAACCCCAAGACTATAACAGGTGACCAAGCTTGGCTTGACGTATCTGCTAGAGGAGTTTGGAGTCTATTTGATAAGACCTTTCTTGACATGAGGGTTTCACACCCCAATTGCTTATCAAACAGGACAAAAACTCTTCACTGAGAAGTATAGAGAGAACGAGAGGCAGGAGAAGGATGAGTACTTGGAGAGAGTGTTGAATGTGAGAAGGTCACCTTCACCCTGTGTCGGCTGTATTTCTGACATCTGGAGACATGTTCAAAGAGTGTAAGCAGTTAAGTTTGTAAACAGATTAGCAGACCTCATAGCCAGGAAAAAGGAAGAGAGATATTGCCATGTAGTAGGGCATGTGAGGACAAGAACAAGATTCGCAATGTTAAGAACAACGCTAATAGCTCTACGAGATTATAGAGGCAAGAAAAAAAGACGAAAAAGGGGGGACCTCCAACCCATGTAGCTGAGACACCTCACAGCAAATAGACCAAAGTGGATCCCTCCTGGAATCATTTCGTCTGTACAATTTTACACAATATATAAGCTACAATAAATTATCTATAAAATTTACATAAACAAACTTAAGAAACCTCCTAGCTCGTCTTCTAGTTAGGGAGGATATGTCAGTAATATCAATGGCGTGGGATTAGTTTAGTAAAAGCAATTTGACTTCAAGAATCACTAGTTGGAAGCCTAAACTAAAGGATTTTTATAGGTGGCAATTTTTATTTTGGCGGGAACACCCATTATATACGGGCCAAGCCCTTTTTTAAAAATCCGAAAAATCCGAAATGCTTATATTGATAGTAGACTAGGCTTGTGGGGTACCAAAAGAAAGGTAATGACCCACTGAAGTCAGGAAAAATAAATGTGGGGTTCCCTGACCTTCCATATGGGCGAAAACGGCGAAATCGACGAAAACGGGCGAGAAAATGACATTTTTTGAAAATTGTTCTATACTAGGCATGTGGGGTACTAAAATAAGCGTAATGGTCCAGTGAGTGAATATAATCACCTTGTGGGCCTCCAAAATGTATCAGGTGGGCATAAACAGCGTGACTAGATTCGGAAGAATACTTGAATGTTCTGCTTGCGCTCAGAGGGTTATTTCATTACAGAGCAGTGCATGCATTTATTAATTTATATTATATCCCGGGCGTATACTAAGTAGGGTGGAAATATCTCATAATATATATATACTAGAAAACCCGTGGTCACAGGGAAGAAGGTAATAGTATTTTTATCTATCTTTAGTAGTCAGTTTTTGTCGCATCAGAAAATATCCGTCACAACCAAAGATACAGCCGAATTAAATGTAAAACACGTTAAACACAACGTAATTACCACAAAATCGATAAAAATCGCGCTCGTAAATATTTGCACGTGCAGGTTCGTGTACAGTGTACCAATCTTCGTTACCATGGTTACTATGCAATCTTTTGCTTTTTACGTGGGCGGTCGTACAGACAGACAGACAGAGATATATACAGCGATTCAGATGTAAATACTTCGGCGATGTGCGTACATGAACTCTTGGAGCAGCACCAGAAGCTGAGAGGAAAATATAAGGTGAGTGAACTATTACATTTTTACTGTTATCTATTTAAAAGTTCGAAACATCTTGTAGACACAAATAGAGGGAATGCTTAAAACCACATAATAATTCTCAGGCTTATCAAGCCACAGATGGTCTGCTGAACATCTGTGAACTTGGACGGGCGGCTGAGGACACATTCGTGACTGAAAGAATAATTGGAGATGAGCCGGTTTGGTCACCGATGAAGAAATTGAAGCTGTATCTTTTCAGAGACTCGGTTAAGGCTGTCAAGGTCAAGGTCGCCAAAGGATTTGTAATCATGAAGGAGGAGAGGGGCATGATGACCAAATGGATGATAGCCTCAAAGAACAGGCCTGAAATAGACCTTCAGGCGATCATAGCCAGGCATGAGTTCACAGTCGTGCCAAGGGCAAGACTTTGGTGATCATTTCGTCAAGCGTGTAGCTGGTGAATCAAGAGGCTTTGAGAATGTCCTGCTAGTGTTTGATAGATATGATTTCCCCATGTCACTAAAAGCAATGACCAGAGATCAGAGGACTAATGGAAAACAAGTGCAGTTCAGACTAGCTCATAACACAGACATAGGAAAGCTCAAAACAAAGATGCTACTCTCCCACGTCAAGACCAAAGTCACGCTTACGAAGATCCTAGCAGAACGGGCAGAGGAGGCATTCATAGCATCAGAAGCAAGCTA